CGTCGACAGTCCCCCTGTAGGGGGGCACGCCCGACATCATGTTTGGCCTCTGGCCTCTCCGGTCCTGCTTCCTGCCTCCTGCTTCCTGTCTGAAGAGGGGCCCCGAAGCCCCACCCAAACAACCAACGGAGGGGGTGTGAACCTCAGATCCAGCGCCGGGCCGCCCCAGGAGATCCTCATGGCGACGCCACCGCGCGGCCAGAACGGGGCTCGAGAGGCCTCCGAGCATGCCCGGCGAGGCTTCGCAGAGAGCCTCAGGAGGCCAAGACGGCTCAAGGGAGCCCCAAGAATGTCCCAGTATTGTCCCAAGACGGCCCAAGATGCCCCCAAGACGGCCCAAGAGGCCTCCCAAGAGGGCCCCACGAAGCAACAATCAACGATGCCCCTAATGATTTCCAAGGTTTTGGGCCTTCTCGCCTTTTCGGCTTTCCGACGCTCCGAGACGGACCAATAAGTTCCAAAGATCGCCCCACGACGGCCCTAGAAGCCCTCTATGACGGCCCATGAGAATCCAAAGAAGGCCCAACATTGCCCTAAGACGGTCTCAAGAGAGGCCCAAGAGGGAGTCCACGAACCGAAAACTCGACCTTTCCGCCCCGAGAGGGCCCCAGGAGGCCCCAAGAAGGTCCCAAGAGGCCCCAAGAAGGTCCCAAGAGGCCCCAAGAGGCCCCAAGGAGACCCCCAAGAGACCAAATACATTGTTTCCGAGAGGCCCCAAGGAGACCCCCAGGAGGCCCCCGAGAGGCCCCAAGGAGACACCTGAGAGGCCCAAGGAGACTCCTGCGGAGCCGCCCGCACTCAGAATAGGGAGCCAGCGGCAGAGAGCGAAACCCTCAAGATATCATATCGTATCTATATATATACATGTGTGTATGTGTATGTATGTATGTATGTATGTATGTATGTATGTATGTATGCATGTATGTATGTATGTATGTATGTATGTATGTATGTATGTATGTGTGTGTGTATGTATGTATGTATGTATGTATGTATGTATGTATGTATGTGTGTGTGTGTATGTATGTATGTATGTATGTATGTATGCATGCATGCATGCATGTATGTATGTATGTATGTATGTAGATGTGTGTATGTATGTATGCATGCATGTATGCATGCATGCATGCATGCATGTATGTATGTATGTATGTATGTGTGTATATGTATGAATGTATGTATGTACGTACGTACGTACGTATGTATGTATGTATGTATGTATGCAGGTATGTATGTATGTATGTATGTATGTATGTATGTATGTATGTATGTATGTATATATGTATGTATGCATGCATGCATGTATGTATGTGTGTATGTATGTGTGTATGTATGCATGCGTGTGTGTATGTATATATATATATGTACGAATACATTCATGTATGCGTGTATGTGGTTGTGCATATCGATGAATCTATGCACGTACTATGCATGCAAATATGTATTGTTTATGAATGTATGTGTGGACGGATGGACGTATGCATGAGTGAATGCATGTGTGTGTATGTGTATGGTTGTGTATGTGTGTATGTATGTATGCGTGGAAACATGCATGTATGTGCGTATGGGTGTACGCATTGTTGTATGTATTCATGTAGGCATGCATATTCGTTTGAATGTGTGTATGTGTAGGTGCGTTTATGTGTGTTTGTATGCATGTACGCACGTATGCATGCATGTATGTATGCGTGTTTGTATGAGTGCATGTGTGCACGCATGTATGCATGTATGCATGTGTGTAGTTAAGTATATGTGCATGTATGTATGTATGCATGCATGTATGTACGTGTATGTATGTATGCATATATGTATGTATGTGGTTATGCATGTATGTGTGTATGCATGTCTGTGTGTATGCATGTGTATAGATGTATGCATGCATGTATATGTATACATATATATACACGTAGGCGCGTATGTGCATATGTATGAACAACTGTAGACATATATGCATGCATGTATGTGTGTATGTGTGCATGCCTGTATGCATGTATGCCTGTATGTGCATGTATGTATATGTGGATCCATGCATGCATGAAGGCATGTGTATGTATACCATACATGTACATCTAGATATGTGTGTACGTATGTGTGCAAGCTTGTATGTATGTATGTATGAATGCATGCATGCATGCATGTAGCTAGGTACGACTGCCTGTATGTATGCATGTATGTATACCTCTCTAAATATATGTATGTGTGTATACACACGTGTGTCTCAATTCATACACACACATCTTTCTCTCTCTCTCTCTCTCTCTTCCTCGCTCTTCTCCGCCCCCGCCTCCCGCTGCCCAATATCCCCATCCTACCTCCCCCGCCTTCCCCCCCTTCCGCCGCCCCGTCCCCCCCCCCACACACCTCCCCCATTCCACCTTCTCCTCCCCAAATCTCACGTTCCACACTGAGAATGGGGGCAGGATGGGGGGAGGAGGAGGAGGTGGAGGGCACGGGAGGAGGGAGGAGGGAGGGAGGGAGGGAGGAGGAGGAGGAGGAGGAGGAGGAGGGAGGGAGGAGGAGGAGGAGGAGGGAGGAGGAGGAGGAGGAGGAGAAAGAGAGGCTCAGGATAGAGAGGGCGACCGAGAGGAGCATCACAGAGAGGGACGGCTCCCCAAACAGTGCGCACCCTCCGGGCCTCTTGCTCCGCGACGGCAAAGGGGGGAGGCCGGCACTGCCCGCTGCGGCTGGCCCTGCGAGAGCCTGCGGCTGTCGGCCGTCGTTCTCGCGGCGGTGCTGCATCCGGGTGTTGCCAGAAGTACCCCTGGCCCAAGGTGCCCCTAGGCTTATGTCGGGCGTGTCCCCCCCTACAGGGGGATTTTCGACGAAAAATAAGGAGACCCCCAAAATGCCCCCAAAAGGGTCAAACAATACTCCAAAAATAGTCTTCAGACTATTTTTGTAATATGTTTTGATCATTTTTGGTGCATGTTTTATTTTTCGTCGAAAATCCCCCTGTAGGGGGACAGGCCCGACTTAACCCTGGGATTCTCGGGGCGGCCCCAGACGGCCGCCCGGGGCACCCCTCGCGAGGCCCAGGGGGCCCCAGGGGGCCGAAGAGCTGGGGGCACCTCGGGCCAGGGGCACTTCTGGCAGCACCCGATGCACGGCTGGTGACCTATGATTAAGTCGGGCCTGTCCCCCTACAGGGGGATTTTCGACGAAAAATACAAAAAAATACCCCAAAAATAGTCCAAACGTAGTCCGGGGACTATTTTTGAGTACCTTTTTACCTTTTTGGAATATTTTTGGGGTATTCCTTATTTTTCGTCGAAGATCCCCCTGTCGGGGGACACGCCCGACATAAACCCATGACTGGGACCCTGTGGCTAGAGCCCGACGGCCGGCCCTGGGACAGAAGACCAGCCTTCAAGAACAGGAGACCCCCCGCCGGCCAGCACGACGAGCCCTCGAGGGTACCCCCCCCCCCAAGGATGCAGCACATCAGCACCCAACAAGCACGAGGAACATCAGGGTACCCTCTCCGAACCGACCTCGATGTTATGCCTTTGGAGGTCGGGAGGGGGTGCGGCACCAAGGGGTATGGTGCCAATCGTGGAAATGGCGATGCGATCTGCGATACATAACATCGACAGGGTCCCCTTCACACGAAATTAGACCACACCCCTTTATACCGTACCCCTTTCCTACCTCCAGAATACCTCGGTCCGTCTGTATAGCTCGTGCTCTCCGGTGCCCAGTAGTCCCACCAGCCCTTGGGGCGAAGGTGGCCTAACGACATGTCCCCCTGTCTTCCAGAAGCCCTCTCCCTCCGGGGAAGGGGTACCCTCCCCCTCCCCATCCCTCAGGCTTTCTGCCACGATCGGTCAGAGCGTCCAAGATCGCCCAAGATGGCTCCAATCGGGGATGGACAGACCTCCCTTTAGTAAAACGTGGTTTAGTGAAAACAACCTGAGGTCCAAACCTGGCGGGCGCAAGCCTGGAAAATAACGGCCGCGGCGCCCTCTCGAGAACCGAAAACGGACAATTCACTAATCGACGTGTCACTGTTGGGGGGTCTGTCCGCCCCCGATCCAAGAGGGCCTCCGATGCTCCAAGATGGTCTCCAAGATGGCTCAAGAGAACTTGAGATGGCTCAAGCTGGCTTGCGACATACCTCCAGGAGGCGCGACGAGGGCCACAAGACGGCCCTAGGTGCTCTCTCGGAGCCCTCCCCCCCACACACAGTTTTCAAACACCTTCTGGAAATCAGTGAGTTGTGCCTCCTCGCCTGTTTGCTTACGAGGGCGCTCTTGAGGCCTCAAGGTGGCCGAAGAAAAAGGCCCAGGAGGGTCCCAGGAGGCCCCCCAGACGGCCCCAAGAGCCCCCGAGAGCGTCCCAAGAGCGCCCCAAGAGAGGCAGTTTGCCGCCTCCTCCTCCTCCTCCTCCTCCTCCTCCTCCTCCTACTCCTCCTCCTCCTCCTCTTTACGTTCAACCAACCTTAGGGTTCCCTGTGGCGTTCCTCCTCCTCCTCCTCCTCCTCCTCATCCTCCTCCCCCTCCTCCTCCTCCTCCTCCTGCCTCCTGCTCTTCCCACGCCCCCCCGCGGGCCCCAGGGATGGCCCGAAGAGGCCCTCCAAGGGCATCCCCCTTGCTCCCAGAGATCTTCTGATCATCCTGGTTGCCCGATCTGTTTCACTATATGTGTCCCTTCGTCCCTTTCCTCTCATTGTCAAGGTTTCTGAACGGGCTGGGCTGGTAGGGCTACGCGAAGCGTGAAAACTTGGTACACTGCGTCGTCCTGCTTAATGGAGCTCAGCGGTGCAATGTAATTGTTATCGTCTGATTTCCGCTCTAGGTATGGTTGGTGCCATATGGCATCCTGTGAATGCTGCCCGATGGCTGGTGCCCTATACTTGGTGCCAATGGTTAGTGCCCGTGGTTGGTGCCCAATGGCTTGAACCACGTGCCCTACCCATTTCACCTTGTAGAACCTACTGTGTGGGGTCCGTGTGCTGGGATCGTAACTACGAAATTCAGAAACCGAGACTGGTGCGCAACCGCCCTGAAGAAGTTGCTGATGTGCAGCTTCGCCTCTGGGATGCAGGTCAGCGACGTCGACGTCATCGGCGCGGCGGCCTGGGCGTATTTTCAGGGGGGGGGGGTAAGAGGGAGCAGGGAGGACGTGAACCAGATCAGCTAATCATCGGGGTGAGACTGTCGCAGCATGGCCACAATTTCGCGGGTCAAGAACATTCGCCCCTTCGCAAAAGGACCCCGTGGGGATGACCCAAACGAAGAACAGTCCAAGGTGGACACGAACAATAGAAGGGTGGCCCTCCCAAGCTAGGGCTGTTCTTGACCCTCGCACCAAAATGTGATGCGGCCAATCAGCTCTGATGGTGACGGTGGTGACGGGGATGACGAGGATGATCGTGATAATGATGACAGACAGTCGTTGACATCAGGCTGACGGCCAAGATCACGATTCTGCTAGGCAGCTGCCGCGCGCACGAGGTCAGCGACAACTTAGGAGGCAACACTTCTGCTGGGTCTTAAGATTGAGATCTGGCAGGCCCGAAGAAGGGGTCACCATCAAATCAGATTAAAACCAAGGATTGAGCTGGCCTGGGAGGGATGATACAACATCTGAGCGGTTCTCGACGACGGACTTACGTGCGCCAGGCTGGAATGCTACGCGGCGCGGGAGCGCGCCTTGGAACTGGACGACGGGGAGTCCCGGCCCACCCCGACCAGCTTGGGCTCCTGCGACGGGGGGGATGAGACCGCCGCCTGCTCTTCGCCATGGATCCAGGCATCCTTGGTTCATCTTAAACATGACCTGAGTGTTTTTGTTTACGCTTGCAGCTCGGTGTCGTGGACAGCGTTTTTTTATCGCTTGAGGTCTCACCAGCAAAACCGAACACGCTAAAACAGAGCTTCGTTTTTGTTCGCGTTTGCCAGTCGGCTGAGTTCTATCGGCGGAACCTCGCCGTGGACGGGTCGAGGGCTTCAAGGCTTGTTTCGCACTGGTCAGGCTGGTGCCAGAGTTTTTGTTGCCGTTTTCAGGCTTGCGCACGGAAGCCAGTTTCAGCCCCCGACCTAATTACGGATGCTACGACGAAACAGAAAACGCTAAAACGAGTAGTAAACGGAAACAACAGCAACAACGAATCAGAAGCGAAACCTATTCGGCTCTAAACAAACCGAAGCGGTTTACTAGCGTGCTCAACATGCCAATGACAAAACATGGTACGTGCTAAGACAACGCTCAGGGTGCTTGAGAATAATCCAAGGACCAAGGATGCATCTCCTCATCATCCTCGTCTTCTTCGATCCTCGTCATCCTCGGCATCCTCCTCCTCTCTCCTCTTCTTATTCCTCCTCGTCCATCACCGACATTCCGGCGACAAGAACAACATATCAAAACGCATGGGTCTGCCCGCTGTTCTTGGCCTCTGGAGCCCGGCCTTGTGACTCGCGGCTGGCTGTGAGAGCGCGACCCTGGGCAGGATCGCCAGGAGAGGTCTGGGGGGCCCACGCATCGCAAATCGGGTGTACGTCAACGGGGGGCAACAGACTGAAGGGGCCCTGGGACACGCAAATAAATACACACACACACAAATAACATAATTTGCCATATTTTCATATATTTTCTGGGTTTTTCTCTTCCCCCCACTTCCCGTATTTTTCAATATTTCTGGGAAAATCGCCGATTAATTCCCTACCTAGGCTCTGCCTAGAAGGGTTTTTACTCGGTGTGCTTAAAAGGCCGGGCAGTGGACTACGCCCTGGGCGGTTCCCCCAGGATCCGCCCCGCGGTTCCCCCAGGATCCCCCGCTTTGCCTAGCCTAGCTTAGCTTAGCTTAGCTAGGCTTAACTTAGCTTAGCTTGGCTTGGCTTAGCTTGGCTTAGCTTAGCTTGGCTTTAGCGCAGCATAGCGCAGCGCAGCATTAGCACAGCATAGCATAGCATAGCATAATCATGCATCGCATAGCATACATCGACGCTACGACAGTTTTGACCCGTTTTGTGTTTCCAGCTAAACAACGCCTGAGCATCACATTGGCTATGAACACCACGACGGCCGTGAGCATCACTCCAAAGCCTGAGAGCACCACAGAACCTATGAGCAGCCGAGCGCCGATAACCACCTTGACGCTAGCACCCCCGTGCCTACAATGACTGACCAAAGGAGGAGAGGAGAGGAGCCGAGAATGTGACCACAAGCGGAACTAGTCAAAATGAGTCGTGCCTTATCTCTTGGATTCGGTCTCCGGGCTGGGGTCGCAACAAAAAAAACACGATTTTGCAGGAAAGGCCGGAACCCGGTCGTCGTCGTCGTCGTCGTCGTCGTCGTCGTCGTCGTTGTCGTCGTCTTCGTCGCCGTCGTAGTGGTCGTGGTCGTGGTTCTGATCGTAGTCTTGATTGATGAAGTCCTGGGCGGAAGCGCCATTTCGAAATCGAACCCGAAGGTTTCGAATTACGTTTTGGAGGAAGTCCTGGGCGGGAACGCCATTTCGAGTTCGAACGGAACAAATGCCGAACCTCATTTTGCAGGAAGTCCTGTTCGGGAGCGCCATTTCGAAATCGAGGCAGAAAGGTTTCGACTTCTATTTTTGAGGAAGTCCTGCGCGGGAGCGCAATTTCGAAATCGAAGCAGAAAGGTTTCGAATTCTATGTTTGCGGAAGTCCTAGGCGGGAGCGCCATTTCGAAATCGAACCCGAAAATTTCGAAATCGTTTTTTCGAGGAAGTATCAAGCGAAACCGCCGTTTCGAAATGGCCACACCGTCTGGCATTTAAAATTTTAAAAGCCCTGACCCGAAAACTCGAAAATGCAGTCTTCGCTTAGGACTTCCTCCCCAAAACGAGCTCGACTGGATTTCGAAACCCGCGGGCTCGATTTCGAAGGGGCGGTGCCGCCCGAGACTGGAGCGACAAATGCTTCAACCGAACATTGTACTGGGGCCCCGTCGCCTAACGGGAGGCATTGAATTTTGGCCGAACTTCCGTAGCGGCGAAGTAGTATAGCTCAGCATAGCATAGAATAGCATAGCATAGCATAACATAGCATAGCGCATCATAGCATAGCATCGCATAGCATTTCTTAGCATAGCACAGCGCAGCATAGCATAGCACAGCACAGCATCGCATAGCGCAGCATATCATAGCATAGCATGGCATAACGCAGTATATCATATCATAGCATAGCATAGCGCAGCATATCATAACATAACATAGCGCAGCATAGCATCGTACAGCATAGCATAGCATAGCGGAGCAGAGCTTAGCTGACCTTAGTTTAGCTTAGCGCAGCGCAGCATAGCGCAGCGCAGTATTAGCACATCATAGCCAAGCATAGCCAAGCATAGCCAATCGTAGCACAGCATAGCATAGCATAGTATGCAAAGCAAAAGCAACACCAATGCGAAAGTGTAGCTGTAGATGTAGATGTAGGTGCAGGTGTAGATGTGGATGTAGGTGTATATGTAGATGTAGATGTAGATGTAGGTGTAGATGTAGGTGTGGATGTAGATGTAGGCGTGAGTCTGGCTGTTGATGTTGATGTAGATGTAGATGCAGGCGTAGATGTTAATGTAGCTGTCGGTGTAGATGTAGATGTTGCTTTCCTAGATGCTCCAACTCCTAGGTAGGGTCGCACTGGGATAATTGTGCTTGTGTGTTTCCTTCCCTCCCGACAAGCATTGGGCGCAAAAACGCGACAACCTGTCGTGCACCTTCTGCTGAGCACGTCTGGCGGGGGGGCCCAGGCCTGGAGGGTCGGGGCGCAGGGCGCCCGGGAGGTGCGCCACTTGCTCTTTCCATCTGCGATGCCTGCTTGGGATCGACTGGTCACCTACGCAGAAAGCATATATACACCACCACCGTGCCAGGCCAGGGCCATCATGGGCCCTAGGATGGTGTATACGCCCTCCTGGCCGAGCCAGGAGGGTCTATACACCATCCTACGGCCCAGGATGGCCCTGGTCTGGCACGGTGGTGGTGTATAGATGCCTTCGTCGGGTCACCATGGGCGACGCGCCGACACCCCCCAGGTTCCACCGAAGAACAGAACGTAAAATCGTCAGGTTCCTGCGCGCAGCTCCAAAGAAAAACATGGGGGCCTGGCCCAGGAACATGCTCGAACCCTGTGGGCCCGTGGTGCTTGTGTTAGGTCGGGCATGTCTTCCTACAGGCGGATTTTGGATGACAAATAGACAAGTCAAACAATACCCCCCAAATAATAAATAAGGCCACTGCCCTGTTGTCGTCGATCCTCCTCAGCACGCCGAATTGCGACACGCGCGCAGGCACACAACTTTGCCCTTGGACCATGGGCGGACATGTGTCGGACCGGCTCCTGTTCCTGCTCCTGCTTCTGCTCCTGCTCCTGCTCCTGCTCCTGCTCCTCCTCCTCCTCCTCCTCCTCCTCCTCCTCCTCCCACTCTCCCTCCTCCTCCTCCCCCCCTCCTCCCCCCTCTCCCTTCTCCTCCTCCTCCTCCCTCCTCCTCCTCCTCCTCCTCCTCCTCCTCCTCCCCCTCCTCCTCCTCCCTCCCCTCCTCCTCCTCTCTTCCCCTCCTCCCCCTCCTTCTTCCCTCCTCCCCCTCTCCTCCTCCTCCTCCTCCTCCTCCCTCTCTCCTCCTCCTCCTCCTCCTCCTCCTCCTCCTCCTCCTCCTCCTCCTCCTCCTCTCCGTCCACTCTCCTCCTCCTCCCTACTCCCTCCTCCTCCTCCTCCTCCTCCTCCTCCTCCTCTCTCCTCCTCCTCCTCCTCCTCCTCCTCCTCCTCCTCCTCCTCCTCCTCCTCCTCCTCCTCCTCCTCCTCCTCCTCCTGCGGGGCACGGATCCCCAGACCCCCCCCCAGGCGAAGCGCCGAAGAGAGGCACCGCTGAGCATCAGTAGGCCTCGCTCAGCGGAGCGCCGACGAGAGGCACCGCTGAGTACCGGTAGGCCTCGTGGACCAGAACACAAAGGACACCACCCCACCTGCGGCCCGACGGGGCTTCGCGTATACCAGGAGATCTGGAGTGTGCTGTTGCGTGGTATACACTACAGGCGCCGGGTGGGCCGTGGCGCAACATGAAGGCGCGCAGGTGGGGTGGTGTCGCTTGTTTGTTGGTCGAGCCTCGGCGACCTCATCCCTGAGAAGGCGAAAACCCACCCCCACCCCCAGTCCCGACTCCATCCCCGAACCCGCGATTCAAGGAGTCGGGACTGGGGGTGGGGGTGGGTTTTCGGGGTCCAGGAATGGAGAAAACCCACCCCGACCCCCAGTCCCGACCCCTTGAATCGCCGGCTCGGGGATGGGCGTCGGGACTGGGGGTGGGGGTGGGTTTTCGCCTTCTGAATCCCTGCCGATGCTCCTAGCCTCGCTCCATCGCCCCCCCTCCGCTGCCGCTCCCCCCCTGGAAGAGGCCGCAGCGCTGGGTGCCATATCCCGGCCCGCGCCGAGGTCGTCGGCCCGCCGGCGCTGCCCCGAGGGCAGCAGAAGCAGAAGCCGCCCTCCGTCTGCGCTGGGACTCTCTTTCTCTCTCTCTCTCTCTCTCTATATATATATATATATCTGGGACTCTCTTTCTCTCTCTCTCTCTCTATATATATATTTATGTATATATATATATATAAATACATATATACATATACATACATACATATATATATATATATATATATATATATACATATATATATATATATAAATACTGGGGGGCCGCCCGAGTGGCGACGGAGCATGCAGGGGGCAGGATCAGTCATCATCGAATCGGAAGATCGTGGGACGCACAGAGACACACTAGTACTATGTGTCCTCCTCGGAGACGCGCGTCCGACCCGATCAGATAGTATAACCATTGTGTGCAGAATACATCGTTTCCCAAGCGGTATGGCCAGACTGCGCCCGCCACGGCCGTCACGATGCACAGTTATACCAGGAAGTTCTCGGTGCGTGCGTCGCTACTGGGGGGCGACGCACACATAGTATCAGTATGTTGGGGTGCCGCCGAAGTCGCATCGAAGCGAAATGTGCATCGGATCCAGCTGCACCGGCATGGAATCGACACCGAATCGTGCCGGCTGCGCCAGGATGCACCACAGCACCGTGCAGGGATCGGGCAATGTGGGATCGCTGGGAGATCATCGAATCGACATCGGATCCCCCACATCTTGACGTCGGAGAAGGAGGAATAATAGTAATATTGATATCCGTAGTAGTCATACAACTATTCTTAGTAGCACGGGCAATAATTACCATATTACGAGTCATATTATTAAATGGAATCACAGGGCTCATACTTAATAATACATAAGACTATCGGATCCAATTCGCCGAACACGACATCGAATCGGATCGATCAGATCGAAATGAACCTTGCGGGGTTGCTGGATGGCACCGCATCGGCGGTGCATCGGTGACTTGGGGTTGAGGAGGTCGGGCTCTGGGGGCATCAGCGACGCGGCGCGATCCTCCGATCCCAAGAAGCATCGGCACAACCTGGGCGGCCTGGAGGGAGGTGGTCCGCTGGCGGTGGCGGTGCTGCTGCTACTTCCTCAGAACCGCCCACGGCGACGGCACGCAAATACCCACTGAACCGACAGCGGAAAAGGAACTCGACCCAAGCCGACGGGCTACTCAGGGAGGGTGCGTCGACGCAGAAACGACACAGCAACCGACCGAAGCGAGACGAACCGATCGAACGAAACCGTCTGCGACGCAGCCGAGCCGACCAAACCGCTTCTCCCATACGTCCGATGTCTTGCTGTCTGTGAGTACGGGGCCCCCCAAAATATCCGACAACACCTTTCCCTGGGGCTGGGTTCTCATCGTGACTCGTTGTTTGAATGCCCTAGGCCCGGGGAGGCCCCCGGAAGCAGACAAAGGTGTATAGAGGAGTAAACAACTGCATGAACATAAAACTTTTGGCACTCCGCGCGGATTTCTTGGCTTCGCGCTGGCCCCCCCTCCCAGGCGCGTGGGGCGCGCCACGGGCGGCGCCAGAAGCGCCACTGGGGGGGGGCCCAGCACGGATCCAAGAAATCCGCGCGATGCGCCAAAAAAATCGGTTTAAGGCGTTTATGCATTATTCGATCGAATACCTTCAGTCGTGATTGCCTCACGGCGCGAAGACGTCAGCGCTCGGCCACACGCCCAAATGCGCGGGGTGGCCGTCATCGCCGCCACTGCGCCGTCGTCGTCGGCGGCTCCTCGCATGCCGCCACGGAGCCGGGCAGCTGCGCGGGCAGCATCCCCTGTGTGCTGGGAGGAAACCGGCTGGCACTGAATTCTGAAGAAGGGGGGGAGAAGGGAAAGGAGGGGAGGAATTCGCGAATCATCGCATGTCGCCGGCAGCCCGCAAGGTCGGCTACATAATCCATGGACTCAAGCAACGAGGTCGACGCAAGTGTCACGGAATCAGCGCAGGAATGGCCACGCGAGGAAGAAGGAAGAGGAGGAGGAGGACGAGGAAAAGGAATAATAATGATTCGTGGGGTCCCGCCGAAGGTACCTCGTGACTGAGAATCGGGGAAAACCAGCCTCCGAATTATCCCGGCAAAGCAACCTAACAGCGATGTGTAGGAGCATATCTGGAAGCATTCCCCTTAAGATTCAGATGAGAATCCAGTTGTAGAATTCTGCTGTTCTCGCAGTCGTAGTCGCATTCGCGATGACAGTCGCAGTGGCAACGGCAGTCGCAGTCACAGCCTCAGCCTCAGCCTGCAGCCTCAGCCTCAGCCTGCCTCAGCCTCAGCTGCCTCAGCCTCAGCCTCAGCCTGCTTCAGCCTCAGCATCAGTCTGCCTTCAGCCTCGGCCTCAGCCTGCCTGCCTCAGCCTCAGCCTCAGCATCAGCCTGCTTCAGCCTCAGCCTCAGCCTGCCTCAGCCTCAGCCTCAGCCTCAGAGGCCTCAGCCTGCCTCAGCCTCAGCCTGCATCAGCCTCAGCCTCAGCCTCAGCCTGCCTCAGCCTCAGCCTCAGCCTCAGCCTCAGCCTCAGCCTCAGCCTCAGCCTCAGCCTGCTTCAGCCTCAGCCTCAGTCTGCCTGCAGCCTCGGCCTCAGCCTAAGCCTGCCTCAGCCTGAGCCTGCCTCAGCCTAAGCCTCAGCCTCAGCCTCAGCCTCAGCCTGCCTCAGCCTCAGCCTGCCTCAGCCTGCCTCAGCCTGCCTCAGCCTGCAGCCTGCAGCCTGCAGCCTGCAGCCTCAGCCTCAGCCTCAGCCTGCCTTCAGCCTCGGCCTCGGCCTCAGTCTGCCTCAGCCTGAGCCTGCCTCAGCCTCAGCCTCAGCCTCAGCCTCAGCCTGCCTCAGCCTCAGATGCCTCAGCCTGCAGCCTCAGCCTCAGCCTGCATCAGCCTCAGCCTTAGCCTCAGCCTCACCCTGCATCAGCCTGCCTCAGCATCAGCCTGCCTCAGCATCAGCCTGCCTCAGCCTCAGCATCAGCCTGCCTCAGCCTCACCCTCAGTCTGCCTTCAGCCTCGGCCTCAGCCTCCGCCTGCCTTAGCCTCAGCCTGCATGAGCCTCAGCCTCAGCCTCAGCCTGCCTCAGCATCAGCCTGCCTCAGCCTCAGCTTCAGCCTGCCTCCGCCTCAGTCTGCTTCAGCCTCAGCCTCAGTCTGCCTTCAGCCTCGGCCTCAGCCTCAGGCTGCCTCAGCCTCAGCCTGCATCAGCCTCAGCCTCAGCCTCAGCCTGCCTCAGCCTCAGCCTGCCTCAGCCTCAGCCTCAGCCTGCCTCAGCCTCAGCCTGCTTCAGCCTCAGCCTCAATCTGCCTTCAGCCTCAGCCTCAGCCTCAGCCTGCCTCAGCATCAGCCTGCCTCAGCCTCAGTCTCAGCCTGCCTCAGTCTCACCCTCAGCCTGCTTCAGCCTTCAGCCTCGGCGGCCTCAGCCTCAGCCTGCCTCAGCCTCAGCCTGCCTCAGCCCCAGCCTGCATCAGCCTCAGCCTCAGCCTCAGCCTGCCTCAGCCTCAGCCTGCTTCAGCCTCAGCCTAAGACTGCCTTCCGCCTCGGCCTCAGCATCAGCCTGCCTCAGCCTCAGCCTCAGCCTGCCTCAGCCTCAGCCTCAGCCTGCCTCAGCATCAGCCTGCCTCAGCCTCAGCCTCAGCCTGCCTCAGCCTCACCCTCAGCCTGCTTCAGCCTCAGCCTGTCTGCCTTCAGCCTCGGCCTCAGCCTGCCTCAGCCTCAGCCTGCCTCAGCCTCAGCATCAGCCTGCCTTAGCATTCAAAATGTGCCCCGGGAGTGGCGTTCTTGGAACTCGAAGAACACGAAGTGGCCTACAGTTGGCTCCGGGCATTCAAAATCATACCCAGGAATGGAGTTCTTGGAACTCGAAGAACACGACCTACAGCTGGCTCCAGGCATTCATAGAGACCTCCTAGATCGGGTCGGAGTACATGTGGTCGGAGGATCGCGCCGCATCGCCGATACATCGGCGATGCATCGGCGATGCATCGGCGATGCATCGTCGACGTGGGCGATGCATCATCGACGTCGACGTGAAGCAAATCGGACTGCACAACCCCATCTAGAAGGCCTAGAATTCAAGATCATGCCCAGGAATGGAGTTCTGGGAACTCGATGAACACGAAGTGTATTACAGTTGGCTCCGGGCATTCAAGATCATGCCCAGGAACGGAGTTCTGGGAACTCGAAGAACACGAAGTGGCCTACAGTTGGCTCCGGGCATTCAAAATCATGCCCAGGAATGGAATTCTGGGAATTCGAAGTCCACGAAGTGCGTTACTGTCGGCTAAAAAGAATCCCCGGATTCCCGTCCGGATCCCGTCCGGATCCCGCCCAGACCCGCCTGGGGAGTCATGGTGCTCTCTTTTGACCCTACCAGAAACCTATCAGTCTTCGCTGTAAGGTAATAATCCAAAACTCAGAGTCGGATCGATGCGAATCCACCCTGACTGTCCCCTGATGGTCCGCTACCGAAAATTTCCCGTAGCGCTCCGCAGAGATCGGTCGCTACCGAAATACCGAAATGTAGCGCCCAATACCGGTATCAGAACGTTATGAAATCCGCTATACGCCCTCAAACGAAGATCCGGTCGCTACCGAAATTCGGGGTGCGTCGAGATCGCTACCGAAAATTTCCGGTACCAGACCATCTGGGTCATCTAACCAGCGCGCTCCGCGAAGCGGCACTGGCCCGCCCTGCAACCCCTTTTTTTCGGCTCGCAACCACGCGGGGCAGGCTCCAAAAGGCACCGGGCACCACCCGACACCAAGACCCCTGCCACGGCCACCCCGCCCACGCCCTTTGTCTCTGCCTTTGGAGCCCGCTTTCGGCCTAGGTGCAACGATTAAGGGGCCTCGGGAAGGGGGCCTGGCAGAGGAGCTGCAACATGCGCGAACCCAGAGCGCGAGGGGGTCCTCAAAACCTCCTCGGGCAAAACTCCTTTCGCCACTAATCTTCTAAAACGAGTGCTACCTGAAAAGATATCTTCCCGAGACCGAGGCCTGAACTGAATTTCGCGCAGAGCGCCAGCCCGAGCAGCTGGAGGGGGGGCCACATCCCACGCGCCCTCCCCCCCCACCTCCGTGCCCAGCACCCTCTCCAGGGGGCCCCTCGGAGCCGCTCCTGGGATGAACTCGCCTTGTTCGAATAGGATGAGCCTCTCCATCTGCTTCGCCAGGATGTTGCCGATCTGCTGGCCCCGATGAAGCTGCACGCTCAACAGAGCCTTCGGCGCGTCGCACCCCCTGGCCATCAACGTCTTGCAGCGGGATTCATTGTGCCAGAATCGACATGTCTGCATTGCAAATGTGCTGCAAGTATGACGCCTTCATCTCGTCGCGGAGCACCGCCTTGCCCTTGTCCGACTTCCGAGAAGGTCTTGCCCACTCCGCGCAGGATCGCCGACATTGCCACGCGCAAGTGAGGCGAGTCCCGCCCCGCGCAATCTGGTTTGCTTCCTGGCGCGGCCACCTCCTTCATCTCAAGGGGCTGCTTGTTGTGCGTGACGCCTGCGCCTTCGCGCGCCTTCGAGGGCCCCCTGGCTGCGTCTGGGAGCTCGAGATCGAGGCACAGAGCGCCCTTCACGTCGGCCACTTCCCCTGCCGAGCTGAGCGTGGGCCGCCTGTGCGCCGCGTCGCTCTTGGCGCTGCCGCGGCTTTTCTGGTTGGTCCCGTCGCCGCCGCCCTTTCCGCCGCCGAGGTGATGTTTTTGCACTGTGCCCCCTGCGTTGTCCTCGCCCCTGCGCTTGGCGCTCTCCTTGAACCAGGGTGGAGTCGCCGCGCCTTCCGCGGCAGACCGACCCGCGTCGGTCTCTGTCATCAGGGAAGTAGGGGCAATGCCGAAGAGGAAGGCGCAACCGCGCGCGGTCACAAAGGTCTTCCAAGTCCGAGCCCTCGAAGTCACAGACCGGGCGCGCATGTGAGGGCGCAGGTTTAACTTCCCTCAGCGACGACGGGCCGACGGCGTCGCAGTGGCCCCTGAGCATCGACCACTCCAGGCGCTTCGGAGCATTCGCGCGACGAGCGAAAACCTGACGACAATGGATGCTCACGTTTGTCGGCGCAAGTACTCGGCGCGAATTTCGAACCCCGCGAAGTCTGCAAAAGTGCGTCGTGAGATCGCGCCGATTCGTAAACCTCGCAACGCGCATCTCGGCATCGTGCGCCCCTGAGGAGGGCCAGCATTTCCTTGGGAGAACTTGCGTCTCAGACTCGATATGGTCCGACTGCTGTTGCAGCGACTCGGCGGCCGCCCCCCCCCCCCCTTCCCCCAGATTGTTCCGGGGGGGGCGGAGTAGCCGCGGTGAGTTGCCTAGACGTGTAAGCGACAACGTATATGGCTGAAAAGACTGATGAGTTTGCCGCATTCAGCAGAAGTCGCAAGTTGTCAACAATCTCTGAACAATCTCCTGATCAAGCGCCTCCGGGACGGCGAGCAAGTCGCCCCTGAGATGAAGGAGGCAGGGGCATGCATGCGGCGAGAGAGCCCCCGTCGGCATCAGCGGGCCCCCATTCGTCACTTGACGTGGTCCCGAACAGCGCGCAAAATGCTTGCCTGCGATGGGTGGGGCGGGTGGCCCAGCTCTGAACGAGTCGAATGCGGCGTTCCAGATGGGGGCTCGAAAACCTCCAATGCTCCAAGAAGGCCTTGGTCGACATCGAGCGCGGGCGCTTGCCCCCCCCCAGCCCGTGGCCTTACCAGCCGTCGCAATTATGCAGGAACGCGCCAGGGTAACCTCCAGCTCGTAACATTCGGTAAACTCAAGACGAACGCCCCCAGTCCACTCAGAAGCGCGTTAAGCCTGAACCCCCGGAAAAGAAGCCCCTCGAACACCCAGGCGGCATCGAGCTGCCAGATCGAGCCCAAAGAACGTAACGACGCCCACGTAGCAGACACCCGTCTTTCGATTTCGCCATAACCGATATCTCGAAAAACCAGATGGGGCCCCAGGTGCCGAACTTGCTCCCTGACGTTGCCCCCCAGAGAACCCCCCCCTCTTCGAGATCTGCTTCAGGGAAACGCTGCGCCCCCCAAAGTAAAAGATGAGCCCCATGTGTCCGCGCGTTCTGTCCGAGGCCCACGGGGCAGAGCCGGCGGTTCAACCGGCGGTCGTAATACTTCAATTTCTCGATGAACTGCAGGAGGGCCGAACTGCAATCAGAAAGCGCGATGGAGTGAATCTCATCAGCGCATTTGAAATGACTTCGATCACCAATAAGACTCTCCCACTCAGCCGTTAGTCCTGCGCGGCCAAGGTCGGCCTGGTCGACATCTCGCCGCCAGTCCGCGATCGGCGCCTGAAGATGCCATTGAAAACCGGTGCGATGAAAGGGTCGCCGATGGGCCCTCCATGCTGAGTTTTCGCGCCCGCCCGACAGCCCCCCCCCCCCCCCAGCAGGAGGCGCTGCAACTGCCTCAAGATAGCGGAGGCAGCAGAGAGCCTGGCCCTCATCAGGCACGACTTGTTGCACTGCCTGGTCCATGTAGGGCCAATTGCCGCTAGCAAATGCTTGCTCGCATCTTTGAAACAAAACCAGTGGGCCTGACGTGTTTTGCGAAGCCGGAAAGAAGCAGTTAGAAACCATATTAGCAGACTTCCTCCTCCATCCTTTGATGAACACATGGTCAGAAACCACGGGCGCGCACTGCAGCTTCCCAGCGAAAAACGCCATGCCTGGAACGAGAAGAATACGCACTACTCGAATGCCTGTTGGGCCTAACTTATGGCGATTGCGTAGAAAGAGCGCCTCGGCTACTGGTTCAATACTTCGGGGCAACTTTGCGATGGCGCATTTCCTGCAAGCCCACGCGCAGCAATAACCAAAAGGTCACGTTGGGGGGCGCGCCCACGTTTTTTTTGTTCGAGATCGCCGGGGCCAGGGCTCCAGGGGGTTCAGGGCTCCAGGGGGGGCGCAGAAAGCAGGCGCAGCACGTCTTTTAGGGGTATGTTTGATGAATTTCCTCATCTGGCTTATGTCCTCCTTCACCTTCTCCTGAATCTCCTCGCCCTCCACGATATCATAATCTGTATTGTGCTGTCCCGCCACCTCCTCCCGACTCGGAAGGACAGCACTCATGCCGCCATCCTTACCTGGGAGTCGCCACGTGTCAATCCATGGCTGCGAAGAGGGCATGCGAGCGCAGGCCAAACGCCCGTCTCGCCTCTTGGGCCCGAAGCGGCAGGACGCCTCTCTGCGGGAAACCTTCAATGCCTCCGCGACCCTTTGGCACGACCGGTGGTCAGTTGCCTCATCCACCAGACGAGCACGGCACTTCCGAACAGCCTGGCGTCACAACTTGCATAATCGGGTCGGAAGCTTGCGCAGTTCACCGTCTATCTTCTCGATCTGCTGTACGTTCGCGTGCACCTTCTGTGGTCGAAACCCAACTCGTTATCGCAACCATCGTCGTCTCCAATCATGGCATATACTGCATTCCGCATCCTTGGTGTTCACCTTCGTGACCGTATTTTTGCCCGCATCCGATAAAGCCGATTCCAACCCCTCAAAGACTCCGTCGGGAGAGCCGTGGTCTCGTAGCCGTAGTGGGTTACGACTTTTCACACAAATCACTAGCGGTTCCAGGAAAAATCAATGCGTCGCTGACCTGTCCTCAGAGCCAGCATGAAGGCATCGCGATCCAACTGCAGGGTCTCCTCTTGGTCCTGCTGGAACTGACCACCCTTGTTGTACGCTAGCGTCAAAGTCAAAGGTAAATGGTCTCGCGGAGGGGGCCCCTGGATCGGCCGAAGCTTTGCGCCAAGACGTCTTAGCACGCCGCGCGAGTGAATCAGATGCTCCATGCCGACTGGGCACCCAATGAAATCGATGCGCGAGCAGCCCTGAGGATTGTAACAAGTAGGTAAAACATGTCCTCCCCCGCCGCCCACATGTGATGTAGCTCCAGCGCCTCTCGAAAAAATTGTCTGCCTCCGCGCTGAAGTCGTTCCCGACTGCGGACTCCCATCGCATCGCTCTGAATATCTGTCCATTGTTAGTCACGGTGGATTGTCCCTATGCCGTCATTCAACTCAGTGTAGCACAAGGGGGTACATCAGACAGGGGGTGAGTCAGGAATGCCTCGGATCCACTTTGAAAGAACAGCCACCGTGCGAAAATGAATGCCTCGCTTGACACGCAAAACTGGCCGTGGGGGATAAGATGATGAGATAACACACGCATCCATGACACATGTTTCCTCAGTCAATGCTTGCACTGAAGGGGTCCTAGCGGAAGTTGAAGATTTAGCGAGAATTCCCAGCCGATTTTGGTGGCAGGCTGGGTTCCCGGGTTCCCGGTTCTGGGTTCCCGGGTTTCAGGTCGATTTCGGAGGGCGGCGAAGTTCTCGGGTTCCCGGGTTCTTGGTCGATATTCTTACCGATCTTTTTCATCATCGATCTCATTAGCGAATTTCTCGATCGATCTCACCATCGACCTCACAACCAATATCACTATCAATATGACAAGCGATCTTACTAGAGCTCGCATAACCGATTTCGCGATCGATATCACTATCGATCTCATTGAATCGATTTCAATCGCGGTCTCACGATCGACCTTAGAATCGTCCTCGCGATCGATTCCACGATCGCTCTCATTATCGCTCTCACAATCGATCTCAAAATCCATGGTATCAATTTTCAAATCATCCACTGCTTGGGGTTTTCTGAAGTGAAATCTGGACTTCCCCACACTCTCAAACGGCAAGACCACCGCACACCCACAAGACCCAGTCGATAGTGGTGCCTCATTGCGGCAGGGAGGAGCCTCGACCACAACTCATCCTGCTACTCGTCGCTTGAGAACCTCCGCGCCCTCCAAGCGAGTGCCGTTCTTGGTGCCAGCAAGGGCGATGAGGTCGAAGTTGCCCGTCTCAGATAGAGGATCTCCTCCAGCCTAAACTGCCCTGCAAACATTGGGTTATGCCAGAGAAATCGCAGCATGGCTCGCGCGCGCCCCGCCGCTGACTGAAGCCGGGGGGAACAACGAACTGCCTACATCTCTGACGTCTGTCTCGCCCGAAACTCCTTGTCTGGGCCTCGGGGGCTAGGAGGACGAATAGGACGAGGAGGAGGAGGAAGAGGAGGAGGAGATGGGAATTGGTTGCAGTAGCTGGGACGGCATGGTTGCCACAGAATCGGTCATAGCGGAGGGTTGGGGCATTGCGTGCCATGAGGGAGCCAACTATACACCGACGCCGGCCTCTGGACAGGCTGATTCCAGACATCCGCCACCCGAACATATTCGAGGCGGCCTCTGTGATGGTCTCAACGCGTCAAGAAACATCGTCAGAACAAAAAAAAACACGAAATTGCACGAACTTACCCTTCAGAATGCCCGCACGGATTCCCTGAGCCAGCGGACTCCACGCTCCTGGTGCGGCAGAGCGCGCTATAGGGATGGTGCCGAAAGCGCCGCCAGGGGCCGACGCCGCATTTCTTGTCACAACGTCGGCCCTGGGGATCCGGAGACCTTCTGGGGACCAGTTTTTCATCCTGAATATTGGCGGCGAGCGAGGGGGGGAAATGATAAGGAGAAGGCCTTCTCAGAAGGCGGCGGGACTTCTCAGAAGCCCTCGCGCCTTCTGAGAAGTATTCCCTGTCTTCAGGGGAGGTTTCGAAAACTTCTGAGAAGGCGAGGGGATCTCCGAGCCTTCTGAGACGGCCTTCTCCTTCTCACTTCCCCCCCTCGCTCGCCGCCGAGAAACATTGTTGACGGTCCTGGGGCCGGTTTGTGGTCCCAGGACCGCCAAAGATTCCTCTTGTTATTCGTATTATGATTCCTCGTATGATCATTATTACTATTCTTCTTCTGGATAATTTCTGACGGTCCTGGGGCCCGTTGCAGAGGGGGGGGACAGGCGCGTGAGGAACGCACGTCCACGCCAGTACACATCGTCGCGCCCCCTTCGGGGCCAAGGCCGAGAACAATCTTTGACGGCCCTGGGGCCCGTTCGTGGGCCCCGGGAGGCCGAGAACGGCCCGCAGCCTCGCCTTACATGTCTCGGCAGCGCGGGGAGGTCCGGGTCCGGCCCCCGACCAGGCCCAAAGCAGTCCCTGCCCGAGTTCTCGGGGGGCTCTTGCGGAGCGTTCGGCGAGGAGCCTCCCATGAGGCCAAGCAGAAGTACAAGGAGGAGGAGGAGGAGGAGGAGAAGGAGAAGGAGGAGGAGGAGGAGGGGATATCACATACATGGACGGTCATAAACGGTGCGAGCCACAGACGACAATCAGCATCAGCATCATCAGAGTCACGAGCAGCATAGCAATCATTGTCATCAGCATCATCGTCATCCCCACACTCGTCGACAGCATCGCCATGATGATCATCAACGTCGTCATCGTCACGCGAGCGCTCTCTGGCGTGACTTGCCCTGCACTGGTGTTGGAGCTCTCTCAGAGCATTCCTTGGCCACGCGGGCCCTCAGTGCTCTTCGAAGCATATTCGGACGTCTGGGACGCAATTCTGGCCGCGCAGAAGCCGCCTGGGGCGTGTTGAGCGCCGCTGCTAGCAAGTGGGGGCGTTCTTGGAGTCAGTCGGGGGCTCTGTGGGCTATCTTGGTCCGTCCCAGGGCCGTTTCGGACGCCCCAGGGGCGCTTCGAGGGCCGTCTTTGGGCCACCAGGGGCTCCATTGGCACCCTCTGGGTTGCGTCTGAGGCGGTCCTCGGACGAACTCAGGGGCCTATTGGGCCGTCTGAGAACGCGGAGTGAGCCTGACCGTCAGTGATTTGGACGACCGAGCTCGGCACAGGGTTTGTCCACAGCCCGACTCATGGAAACGACAGGGGACACGGTCGGACCACAGCTCGCAACCTTCGAGTCCTCATGTTGGACCGATACACATCTCAATGGCGCACGGCGGATCGAACCAAAACTGGGATCCAAGAGTCAGATCGGCCAGGAATCGAAGCTCCTAAGTTGGCGAGGCCTCTCAGGGGCCACTGGCCAAAGCCCATGGAAGGCCTGGCCAAACTTAGTGCTGGCAGAACACTGGCCACTCCCGCGGATTTGACGCGACGCCCGATGACTTCCGAACCCGCCAGCCTTGAAGGCGAAGTGACCTCATTTTTTTGCGCAAAGACAAGGCGCGGTGCAGCAGCAGTAGTCTGGCTGATGGGGCAACGTCGGGCCTCCCCTCCGACGAAGTGCCACACAGCATCTAAGGTACGGAAAAATCCGCCCACCCCTTTGGGTAACTAGCGTGCGAAATCAATTCCTCCCAAAATCCCATCGGCAGAGGAAGGGCAACTCGCCTCATGCAATGCCCAGCTACACTCGCCGTTTGACAATTGGCCCCGATTGACAGACTTGCCACTGGCAACAAGCATGGTTCCAGTCTCCCAAAGTGTCCATCCTACAAGTGACACAACTTATCGAATGGGTCATCGGGCGAAATTGGTTGAACCACCTCTGGTGTGGGCATCCCCGAAAACACAAATGCCGACGATTTCCCAGCCGGAAAGGACCCGGACCACGTGAGGTGAGGACAGAAGTACATAAACCGGGAGTCGCAAGAAGATCTCAAGCCAAACGAACAGTCCACGGCAACTGCAAACCCAGAACAGCGAGGAAACGGGATCGGATACAGTGAGGCAAGAGCATCGACTAATCCAGAACAACAAGGACGCATTGGGCGAGTATGGCTGGACGACCTCAGGCCAGGTCATATCCGAGCCCAGAGTTGTGACGGAGTGTGAACCGAAACTGGCTGGACCAGCTCAGGTCGAGAACGCGGGGGGGGAGGCTGGATGGACCTCTCCCGTGCCTCGAAGCCCACAACCGCGAGGATGTCTCAAGCCAAAAGGGCTGGACCGCCTCAGGACAGTGGCAAGGATGTCTAAACGAAATGGGCTGGACTATCTCTCGCGCGACATCTCGAAGCCCACAATTGCAGGGATGCATCAGCAGGCGAGACCGACCGGACCGCCTCACAGGCGGCATCTCAGGGCCCGAAATAACGATGATGGCTTCGCCGAAACCGACCCGGACGACTTCTCGCATGTGGTCTCCTAGCTCAAAACCACCCCCCCGCCTCCTGGGCAAAAGATGGTCAATCGCGATTCCTTGCCCGACCCCATTTGTCCCCTTCGGGGATTGGGTCATCGCTGCTCCTGGATAATATTTGCCACCTCGCCCAATCCACCGACCGCTAACCCGAGTCACTGCCAGCCCCCACGATTCCAACCAACAACGAATTGAAATACCCCCAGGCGGCTCCCCCATTGGAGATCGGAAATGCGATGCGATCCGTCAGAACCATGATCATCGGATTATCATGGATTTGTAGATCCGCCACCGTGCCTCTGGGTAGGGAGTGGGCGTGCCCTCAGGTCCTTGCCATCATCCTCTCAACCTCAGTCCTAACTCCTGGGAAGTCGGTCAGAGACCGGGGCTTCTCGCGATTTCTCGCGTGCCTGTTTCGGAGGGATGGGGGCCCCAAAACGTACCAACAAGGCCCAAAGAGACCCACAGGAGGCCCACAGGAGGCCCCAAGAGGCACCCAAGAGGCCCCAAGAGGCCCCTAAGCGACCCAACAGCGAGTCCAAGAGGCTCCAAAACTGCCCCCACGAGACCAAAAAATGCATCCAAGAGGCCCCCTAAAAGGTCCCCCACTAAATCACAACGAACATCCAATAGGCTTCATACCCACAGCCCAGCCACAGTGGCGGGATGGGCCGAAGGCCATTCGATAGAGAGGGGTCCGAGGTGCAACAGAGAATCATGAGTCCAGGGGGCGAGGCTCAAGCCTGGATGTCTCACCTGAACCCTTCCTGCCGTGCTCGGAAAGGCACCCCGACAACAAACGAATCAAACATTTGTCGCTCAATTCGGGTCGGCGGCAGAGGCGGCAGCCTTTAGACTAAAACTACTGGCAAGGAGAGTCTGAAGATAGGATGAAGACAGGGCACGAGCGACCAGCTCTAGTGACGCCGAGGGAGCGGCCGGGGAGCGGCTCAGGAGGCCCCAGGGAGGGT